TATCTTCAGTTGAAGCATAACGCAGCTTGGTTGTTAGACGCCTGTTCAGAAGTCATGCAGAATTTTAGGTTAGCATAAAAGGATTGGGTTTTAGGTTAACATGAACTCCTGAGTACACGCGCTTGTTTAGACGGCTATCCAAGTGCAAATATTTGCTAGACGTCTGAAGAACATTATCTCATTGCAAAAGTAATGATTTCATTTACAGTTATAGATGAGAGATTTGCTTGTTAGAATTTTTAAATGAAGTTTTTTTTTTTAAAATTTGAAACCCATTTTTTTACCCGGATTTGTTTTTATACTCACACTTCCAAATTATTCGATACCCAAAACAATCTCATTTATTTTTAAACCCAAATTATGTTTTAATCTGCTATATGGTAAAATTCTATAATTGGATCTAACCTGCTGTAATATTCATTAAGCTGCTATAATATTAGTTTAAGTACTATAAAAAAGGATCTTATTTTTATGCTATAAATACGATCTTTATGGGTGTCTTGGATGCATGAATGATTTTGGTCGTGGCCTGGTTAAAAAATACTTCACTGTTATAGAATTGGGTTAAAATCAAAAAGACCCGTACTGTAATGCCTTTGGTTTGAATTTTATTTTATGCTAGATTTATGTTACATTGCTCGGTTCTGTTCTTGTAGCCCCTATCAGTGGAATTGGGACCTGGAATTCTTGGAAATATGTTACATTGCTCGGTTCTGTTCTTGTAGCCCCTATCAGTGGAATTGGGACCTGGAATTCTTGGAAATATTTTCGATGGAATTCAGGTATATAGAGTTTAAGTCTTAAAATTTCTTCTGATTTGTGATTATTATGTATCTTCCTTAATGATCCATTTTCTTATTTGATGCAGAGACCCCTGAAAACTATTGCTATTAGATCTGGAGATGTCTACATTCCTCGTGGAGTTTCGGTCCCTGCTCTTGACAAGGATGCACTGTGGGAGTTCGAGCCGAAGAAGTTAGGTAATTTGATTTGATTTCTGTGCATTGTGTGATATTTAATTGCTCTTTAGTTCAAAGATTTGATCCTTTATATTTGGTTGTTTCAGCTGTTGGAGATCTCCTCACTGGTGGAGATTTATATGCCGTCAGTATTTCTGGTCTTGTGTTCACATATTATCCTGTTTGTACTAATTTTTGTTCAATGATCTAACACTTAGAAGTAAACTCTGTTTTTTTTCCGTCAGACTGTCTTTGAGAACACTTTGATGCAGCACCATGTTGCTTTACCTCCTGGTTCAATGGGAAAAATAAGTCATATTGCCCCAGCTGGTCAATATAGTCTCCAGGTTAGTAATGAGATCAACTCTAGAATTTTGTCTGCTTGAACTTTTGTACTATTGAGTTTTAGTCTTGCAATTTATTGTGTGATGTTTTCAGGACACAGTGCTAGAGTTGGAGTTTCAAGGCATCAAGAAGAACTTCACTATGCTTCAGGTCAGCGAAATGCTTGCTTGTTGTTTTATGACATGGCTTCTCTTAAACAATTTGATATAACCTAATGTCTTTTTTCTGCAGACTTGGCCTGTTCGTACTCCTCGACCGGTTGCGACAAAACTTGCTGCCGACACACCTCTATTGACTGGGCAGGTAATTAACAGTGGTTAAACTTCTTTTTCCCCCTTTTCTATTCTTTGTTGACAATATTGTCACTTGGGCGTTACATTACTTTGTTTCTAAACAAATTTGTTGTTCTTAGTATTTCTAGTTCTGGAATTTTGATGATTTTCAGCGTGTTCTTGATGCCCTTTTCCCCTCTGTGCTTGGAGGAACTTGTGCTATCCCTGGAGCTTTTGGTTGTGGTAAAACAGTCATTAGTCAGGCACTTTCAAAGGTAGTTTTTTTTAATTATTTATTTGTATACTCTTTTTATACATTAAACTATTACATTATTTTGCTTTCCACGTGCTTGCCCTAAGTCTTGCTATTTCTTGCAGTACTCTAATTCTGACACCGTGGTTTATGTCGGTTGTGGAGAAAGAGGAAATGAAATGGCTGAGGTTCTTTTATCTATACTCGTCAAGTCTATAACTTTTGGATTGTTCTATGTTTGTATGGCGACTCACATATTAAACTTATCAGGTGCTTATGGATTTCCCACAATTGACAATGACATTGCCTGATGGTCGTGAAGAATCTGTCATGAAGCGTACCACACTTGTGGCAAATACTTCCAATATGCCTGTGGCTGCTAGGGAGGCTTCGATTTATACAGGTAATTTTTTGTGTTCTCTCGTTGCAAAACATGGGGTAAAATGTTAAATTATTAAGGCAACTGATAGTATATGCAAGTCTAATAGAAAAAAACTGTAAGCAACATGGTATCAAGGTCTCATGTTTTCTCTCTATTAGACCAAGTGCCAGTAGAAGTGCTCCTTGATGTGGCACAGGATACTGTCTCTAATGATAGGTAATTTGTATAGCAAGATCCTTATTGCCAATGATACCTAAATCATCTTTTTCAAACCCTGAAATCTTTGGGTAATATAAGCAGATAGTACTTGAATGTTGAGACTGCCTATAAAAAATCCATTAACCTTATCTTTTCACGATATGATTGGTTGTGATCTCAAATTATATGTTGATGATATGATATATACTTAATACATGTTATATTTGTCCATTTTAAGGGGAGGGATAATTATGCATTAATGTTAGTTTTTCCATCTATGTTGGTGCTATACCTTGTGGAAAAGTTGGTATTATCTTTGAGGAGGTTTTTTTTTTGTCGAATGCACGACTAATATAGGCCGCAGAGTTATATTTTATTGCTCTAGAACTTGGTGATCTGCAGGAGTTGGAATACTGATTACATCTCCTGAAGTGAATACTATTATAAGATCAAATAAGGTTAGTGTGTAAAAATAATCATAATGAAGGGAAATCTTTTATTTTCTGCCTAAACAGTTTACTTCACAAGTGTACTCATTTGCTTAATTTGTTGGAGATTCTGACTAGTGACTCCACAAGTCAATGATTGAGTTTAAAATTGTTTAATTGCAAAAGGAATCAGTCCTTTGTTCAATATATACAGTTAACCTAGAATCGCATTGAGGGACTCTATTCAAGAGCCTAATAACTTGATACAATTTTTATCGTGATATGGTGTAAACTCCCATCTGGAATACACTTCACATTCTTTCATAATTCTCTGCTTTCCGATTCAATGAAGTATATTTGCAAGCACAGTTATCTTATTTCAGTTATTCTCATGTTTAGGAATCACCATAGCTGAATACTTCAGGGATATGGGCTACAACGTGAGCATGATGGCTGATTCTACCTCCCGTTGGGCAGAGGCTCTGCGTGAAATTTCTGGACGATTGGTACATATTCTTGTTTATTGCTACCTTTCTTTTATTGCTTTGTTATGAAGATAGTATGGTTTGTTAAAGCTGAAATACCTACCCCTTGTTTCCAGTGTCATTTCCAGCTATATACTTTTTAAAAATGAATCCTGACATTTAAGATTTTTATGTTAAATTTCAAAGGAGTATGCTGCCAAAAAAAATCAGCATTTCACATATAAATTTGGATGATTATTGGGAAGTCACTGTTAATTTACATGGTATACATGTTTCAGTGTCACTGATAATATCATTGTATAGTCAACAAAGGTTAATCTAACTAGAGGCAATAGTGCAAACATCGAACAAATATACTCAATGATTTTTCTTTTCAAAATTATTTCTATAGTTTAAGATTAAGGATGAATTGCTTGCAAAGGTTTTGCTTCTGCTATCTTGTACATTTTATATCCTGTTTTCTCTGATTCATATAAATGGCTGTATAAGAGATCAAATGCATACCAATGTATATGGTACTTATCGATGAATCCTCTGTTATTGCAGGCTGAAATGCCTGCAGATAGTGGATATCCAGCATATCTTGCTGCACGTTTAGCTTCTTTCTATGAAAGAGCCGGTAAAGTGAAATGTCTTGGTGGCCCGGACCGTACTGGAAGCGTTACAATTGTTGGTGCTGTGTCTCCTCCAGGAGGTGATTTCTCAGACCCCGTAACATCTGCAACCCTCGGTATTGTTCAGGTATAATAAACTATTCTTATCTCCTATCCTCCAAACTGAAAATTACTCTGCTCTGTTTCATTAAACATATATTTCATATGCAGGTCTTTTGGGGATTGGACAAGAAGCTAGCTCAGAGAAAACATTTCCCTTCAGTGAATTGGCTTATATCCTATTCAAAGTACTCAAAGGTATTTTATTTGTGCTCATTGACCCCAGGCAGAAAAGGGGAGAATTATTGAACCCATGCAGTAGTGCACCACCCTGATATGCATCAAATTAACTTTGAAATTTTTTTAAATACTTGTTCAGAACATGAATGATACTATTATTTGGCTTTTAGTCGACAGAAATTCGAATTGCAATTTGAACGAAATAATGCACTTTTAGCAAGATGTTGATATTACTTGAACTGTGAAATTTCATCTTGATAACAAAGGGGGCCAACAATAAATTTACAAATTTGTATTTGCCATCATTTACCAGCTTCATTACCAGCTTGGTGGGCAAAGGTGCAGATTACTTGTTTTTAATATTCAACAAAAGCTTGATAATCAACCACTTGACCTAGAAATGTCTGTATACACTTGTCCAATAATACTAAATTAATTGTTTAATCACGTGGACAGAGTGATTTGAGTTTTCTTCAATAATAATTTACAAATGATAAACTTTGATTACAATCACAATGTGCTTTCCCTTTTTAAATCGTTCTGTCAAATATCAATATCACTGATTTATCAACAGCAAGCATAGAAAAATTTCCAAAGTGATTTACTTTCTCCTACAAACTTAGCATAAACTCTAAGTAGACTTAACTATCAGAGAAGCACCTGATGTAGTTGAAAGAGGACAATCAAAGACAAATTAAAGTGAGGCTAATTGAGAAATATGACCACCAAAAAGAAATTTATGTAACCCATGTTGTGATTGTGAATAACTTTGAAAGTTAGACTAACCTTAACAAAGGTTAGGAATCAAATTATATCATCCGTACGGTAAATTTGAGTTTGGTCTAAACCAACAGATCTTAATCAGCCACTGATAATCAATTTTCTATTTAAGTTCATTACTTCGTTTAATTCTTTGTACTAGATGAATTAAGCCCACTCCAAAATTTTGGGGTAAAAAACTTTGTTGCTGTTGTTTTATTGACACATGAACTCAAACAACAATTCTATTGAAATTAAGTAAAAAAAGGTGAATGAACATAAGATATTAAAAAAAACATGTTGAAAAGTTAGGTCACTTGATCTTCTCTCTAATGGAAAGGGGGAAATATAGCAAAAGTGATAAAATCTGCCAAGTAAAGGGATACTAGGATTTTATGCGTGTGCTTTGTTAAGGTTCATTTGTTATAAAGTAAGGGCACATGCATCTTTTTTTGGCTAACTGTGACAACACATGCATTACAACTTTAAATCATGCAACTAAAGTGATCAAAGTCATGACTTAGTAATCACTATGACCAGCCCCAAGAGAAATTTCATATCAAGATACTATAAGATAAGCAAAGAGAGACTTGTTGGATTTAAAAATAATAGAGCGTTTTGCAATCATAGTGTTTTCTTTGTTTCCATGGTGTTTTTGCCAAAACAAAAGCACATCATGTTTGGAAACCATTGTGTTTTCATAGAGGAACAAAACATTTATGGGCAAAAAGCAATAACAAAACACATATCTCAAAACATCAAACAGTTGTTTTGAGTTTTGTGTTTTGAGGTTTGGGAGATGTTGAGAGTTTAATGATATCATATTTAATATATTATAATTAGTATGTAGTATTAATCATTCTTAATATAATATACTATAAAACACCATTAATTAATACAATATATATTATTATAATAGATTATGTTATATTTTAGTATAGTATATTATAGTATAATAATATAATAGCTTTAATAATATATTATAGTACAATAAAATACATGGTAATAATTAATATAATATATATTATAATATTTATGTAATACATTATAATATAATATATTTATATTTAAATTATATTATGTTTTATTAGTAAATACTATATTGTGGTTAATGCAATTGACTAATATAATATATAAGTATTTTTATAATATAATACGTAATATTTTAATATAATATATTATATTGTATTATTATTGTATAATATATTGCAGTAATATATTATATGACATTAATTTGTTATAAAATAAAAAAAATATTATAAAATAACTATATTTATATATATTATATGATAATTTCTTATTACACAAATAGTATTATAATATTTAATATAATAATTTATTTAATATTATTTAATGTTATATTGGACTTAATGTAATAATAACATAATTATGTTATTATAATATATTAATTTATTTTTAATATATTGTATAATATATAAAAAATATTACATTATAATATTTTTCTAATATATTATACGATAATATGTTTATTCTATAATATTATATTAAATATATTTCTAATATATTATACAATAATATATCTATTCTAATATATGAAAGTAATTAATAATATCATATGTTTCTTCTAAGTAGTTGTATGTTACATTTCTGTGTTAAACGAGAAATATTTAGCTGTTTCAATTAGACAAGGATATTTCATATCATGGCATTTATTTAAAAGAGAGAGATCAATCCTGGAACAGTAAAATCTCTTCATGGTTGTCTATGACCTATGTTATGTGGGTACTTCTAATCTGAAGCCATATTCGTTCCCGACGTGTACCCATACCCAACTTCCTTGGACACTCCTTGCTTATACGCATTCATATATCGGGGCATGTAACTCAATTATGCAATACATGTTTTAATTTAAAATAGTTGTCATGCATTTTTTTAGACATATATCCTTCACTTCACAACCACATCTTAAAACTCGTTGGACATACGTCAGATTCCAAATTATGATTTTGAACGATCGTTTGCGTGTCTAGTTCAAAAAGTAGTGATTTTCCAATTTCTAATCCACATGATAAAAGAAACATAAAAATATTATAGGAATTTTAATTCTCATCCTTGTTCTCATATAAATTATTAACTCCAATAAATAATATACGTGTATATAAATATTTATATAGCCATGTCCCCGTGCCCTACATAGTTACTTTTTACAAATCTATCGTGTCCCATACCCGAACCAATACTCATACCCATACCCATACCCATGCAACATAGTCTGTGACAGTGTGCCCACGTTTGCCATGGTTAACAGGTTCATAATTATGGTCAACAAAGAATACAGGTTGCAAGGTAACATTGGTGAAAGTTTCATAAGCCTAAAGAGAATCTATAATAGCTGCAATATAGACGATAGAGTCCTCCCAGTTAAGGGTAGGAAATGTAATATGTTTGTTTGCCGTGCACTACCATTCTAAAGTTAACGGAGCATAGACTTAATATATTTCAATGTGCCTAAAGCAACAGACTTGAATTGAAAATGCAGGTAGTTTCTGCTACTTTCCTGATTTTGGTTAGGTTCCCAATAGCTGAAAGAAGGCTTGGGGAGACCAATCCTCAAAATCTCTGCGTGGTTTCAAGTATTATCCTTGATTTCAATTACAAGTCCGGCACAAGTTCATTTTGTAGAAATATATCGGCTTATTTGTTGTTTTAATTCTCCTTTTCTCCTTACTGCATTGAGATTTCTGCTTATTATTAGAATACATATTTTAATTTAAATACTAATATCCGGTTTAAGGAAAGGAATAGTAGAGATGGTAGTAACTTCACCAATGCATACATACTTTGATTGTCTACCTATGCGAAAAGCTCCAGTTATTTCAATTGACTATTAGTTGGGGCGGGGCTTTCATGGCACATTTTGCATTTCTTAATATCTTTTTCATGGAAGTTTTAGGCTTATCCTTGCTTGGCCATTATGTAACTAATATCTATGACTAAGTGTTCTTATTCTTAACCATGAATATGGAAAGAAATTTCTTATTCTGGTAGATAATTTCTTCAGCTTGTATATTCATAGGATCTAGTGTGTACTTCTTTTGATAACACTATTTAAATATGGCAGTAAAAACTTTTTTTCCAGTTAATTGGAAACTGCTTTTCTCTCGATATATGTGCAAGCCTGCAAGGGCTACCATCTTTAATTGTTAAATGGTTCTCCTGCACATAAAATGATTATAAGTCTCTCATAACATGTAGACAGAAATACGTAATGTAGACTGTCACCAGTAAAAGAAGCTCACAGGTTGATTATATAGGCAATCCAAGAGCTGGATGATGAAGTTTTCAGAATAAGAACATCAAATATATTGTAAAGAAAATCTCAGAGTAACCACTCAAACTTGGCAATTAGTTCTGAGTGGCCAATAAAATTATTGATCACATTCAAGAAATGGCTTACCTATACTCTTGTTCTTGTGGGAGCTTGAGGTTTATATGGAGTTCTCTTTTAGGAAAATATCCGATGGCATTTCATCTTCCAAATAGAAATATTTTAAGAAACCGTGTTTAGTTGTTAAGTATTCTAGTTATTCTATTTGGTTTTTGTTTGGCCCCTATACTACACAGACATTATGTTTTATCGGATCTTTTAGGAAAAGATCTGACGGCATTTTATCTTTCAAAAGAAATATTTTAAGAAGGCCGTGTGTAGTTGTTGAGTGCTGTAGTTATTCTACGTGGTAGTTGTTTGGCCCCTATACTACACAGACATTATGTTTTATCTGATTCTGGAAGCTTGAAAATTAATTTTTCAAAACGCATAATGTTCTGTTCTTGTTTAGACTTGTCTATGTCAATTGCTGTTAAGTAGGTAACCCCTGTCAGGCCCATGTTACTTTTTGTGACAGATAATCTTTATTATTTAGCTGAGGTTCATTTTATCTCTCCAATGGTTTCTTATGCTGCAGGCCCTCGAATCTTTCTATGAAAAATTCGATTCAGATTTTATTGATATCAGAACCAAAGCTCGTGAGGTGCTTCAGAGAGAAGATGACTTGAACGAAATTGTCCAGGTACACTTGTCAGATTGAAATTTCATGGAATACATTTTCCGTTTCTTCTCTATGATTTCAGACTCATTTTTTTGTTTAGCGTTTAGGTAACTTGCAGTTAAACTCATCTGTTTTTGCTTTAGAGAATTAGAATTGCCTCTGATTTTGATCACATTGATGTATATTCATATTGTAGAGATTTGCAGTTGTATTTGTTGCTTGGGGTGTTGTCTTCTTTCCTAACATATGTTGTAGTCTGTTGGAAAGAATCAAAAGATAGATCAGAGCAATTACATCGAACTTTTGAAAACTGAAGTTTGGTGAATTAGGAGACCACATTTCCAGAAATTTATATTTTTTAGACTCAGTTTGATTTTTTTTTTTGGTAAAATTCATCTATTTGTTGCCCAATTGCAACATGGTAGGAATGTTAACTGTAATCATAATTCATAATTTATAACCAAGTGGAAAATTTTATAATACCTTGGCAGGAACTAAAGGCAAGCTTTTTCTTATGAGAAAGTTATGTACCTTTTCTTCTCTGGTTATCTCATTTAGAAGGATAATAGAAGGGCGGGAAACTGTTAGGATACACCCCAATAAGAACGCCACTAACGGAGACGCAATACACAAAATAAAGGCACAAGATCAACCAGAGTACTCACAGATATACGTGGTTCACTTCTTCGGAGCTACTCCATGGTGCAACGACGACGCCAAATTCTTTTATATCCCAAAAGAATAGATCAAAGAGAACACCCTCTCTTGATCAGATACACTCCAAGAACTCTCACAATCTCTCTCTGTGTTTTCTCTCTTACTCTTCTATGAGAGGAGTTGTTTCTGGGATGAGATTTCCTTAAGAGTTTAGGGCCCTATTTATAGTGTTTCAGAAATACTATGCACAAATAAAATATTATTAGTGGGACCCGCCACTAATAATAGTTTATTGTGGGACCCACATACTTTTATTCTTTTTCAAAAGTTACGGCTACTTTTCCTTAATTGTCAAGGATGTTAGGTGAGGGCGGCTGCATAGGGCGGCTAACAATCTCCCACTTGAAGATTTGATTGAGTATCAATCATATCTTCACACCACTCTTAGTTGCATCATCTGGATGTCTTGTATCTTTGGCGTCTTGCACGGCTCTCAACGTTTTCAACGGAGGCCATATGAGGCTGCACACAGCCTCACTTTCTCTAGCGGAACTGGCTTGGTCAGCATATCGGCTGGATTGTACCTCGTATCAATCTTCACAAGCTTGAACTCGTTCCTGCTTTGCCATCTCCGTATGACATAGTGCTTCACGTCAACATGCTTGGTCCGAGCATGGAATGCGTCGTTCTCTGACAAGTGAATGGCACTCTGACTGTCGCAGTGGATTAAGTATTTTTCAAAGCTTACTCCAAGCTCGAGAAGAAAGGCCTTCAACCATAGCAGCTCCTTTGCTGCCTCTGCTGCAGACACGTACTCAGCTTCGGTTATTGACAAAGCCACAGTATCCTGTAACTTGGATCTCCAACTTATCGCTCCACCACCCAAAATGAAGATGTAGCCGCTCGTACTCCTTCTCGAGTCTGTCCCCGGCATAGTCTGCATCACAAAAGCCCTCTAGCTGTAAATCTGTCCCGTCATACTCAAGACAACGGTCGGACGAGCTTCTCAAGTAGCGTAGAAGCTACTTGATTGCACTCCAGTGTTGTTTCCCTGGATTGCTCATGAAGCGGCTCACAACTCCCACTCCTTGTGTAATATCTGGCCTCGTGCATACCATCGCATACATCAAACTCCCGACGGCAGATGCATATGATATGTTGGCCATGAACTCATGCTCTTCAGCAGTCTTTGGTGCTTGAGTCTTCGATAGCTTGAAATGACTTGCAAACGACGAGCCCACTGGTTTAGCTTTCTCCATGCCGAACTTTTCAAGAATCTTCTCAATGTAGGCCTTCTGAGACAACCTCAGCCTCCGTGCTGATCTGTCTCTGATGATCCTCATTCTCAGAATCTGGTTTGCTGGACCCAGATCCTTCATCTCGAAGCACTCAGAGAGACGCCCATTGAGTTCTTCAATACGGGCCAAGTCGGGCACTGCAATCAACATGTCATCAGCATAAATCAAAAGTATCACATAAGATTCGTCATATCTCTTGATAAAGCAGCAGTAGTCTATGTCACATTTGAGAAAACTGTTCTCCTTCATAAAGTTCTCAAACTTCATCGGATCGTGGTCAACTTGACGACGGGAGCGAAAACGTCAGAATAATCAATCCCTGCTTTCTGTTCATAGCCCTTCACTACAAGCCTCGCCTTGTAGCGTCTCCGTCCATCGGCTTCATCCTTGACCCGATAAATCCACCGATTGTGAAGAGCCTTTCTCCCTCTTGGAAGCTTTACGAGCTCCCAAGTCCCATTCTTCATCAAGGACTTCATTTCTTCCTCCATGGCAGACTCCCACTCGTCCCGAGCTTTGTCGGTCTGCTGTACCTCCTCATAGCTCTCTGGCTCACCACTGTTAGTCAGGAGAAGGTAATTCATGGTAGAAAGGTACCTCTCTAGCACCCTTGGGTTTCTTGGAGCTTTGCGAATTGCGATCGGCAACTCTGCTGGATCCTGCTGCTGTGCATCCGGCACGTTTTCTTGGTCTTCGTCTTCTATGCTGATTGGTATCTCACCGCCGTCCTCACTGTCAGCAATATCTAGGAAAAGAGGGAGAGATAGTTGACTCCCACTCACCTCTTTGGTCTTGTACATCGCATTCTCATGGAACACGACGTCACGACTACGCACCACCTTGCGCGCATCGTGATCCCAGAAACGGTACCCATACTCATCTCCTCCATAGCCGATGAAAGAGAGCTTCTTTGACTTTGGATCAAGCTTTGACCGGTCTGCAGGATTGGTCATGACATAGGCGTCACAACCAAATACTCGTAAGTGCTCTAGCTTCAGCTTCTTTCCGGTCCAAGCCTCTTCAGGTATCCCATAATTGAGAGCCGCGGATGGCCCGCGGTTGATCAAGTATGCAGCAGTATTGACAGCTTCAGCCCAAAAGCTCTTGGGCAATCCGGAGTGGATCCTCATGCTTCTGGCGCGCTCCAAGATAGTACGATTCATGCGTTCCGCCACTCCGTTGTGCTGAGGTGTGCCTGGGACGGTCTTCAGTCTTCGAATCCCACGGGACGAGCAGAAGTTCTCGAACTCCTGGCTGCAATACTCGCCTCCATTATCGGATTTTAGGCACTTCAGCTTATTGCCTGTTTCATTCTCCACACAGGCAAGCCACTTCTTAAAGATGATGAAAACATCTGACTTGTGCTTTAAGAAGAACACCCACAGCTTTCTAGTAGCATCATCAATAAAAGTGACAAAATAAAGAGAGTTGCCAACAGATGAGACTTGCGCAGGTCCCCACACGTCGGTGTGCACCAACTCCAATTTCTGCAGTTTTAGAGTCGGTCCGGTCTTGTTGAAGCTCACCTTCTTTTGTTTGCCTAGGATGCAGTCCTCACAGAAAGTTAGATCGATTTTGTTCAGACCCGGAAGCCTCTCTCCCGCGGCCATAATTTGCATCCCCTTCTCACTCATGTGGCCAAGTCGTCGATGCCAAGTCATGCAGTCGACGGATGATGATGATGATGCTTGTCCTACGGCAAGCAAGTGGTCGATCTTCCCGTTGGCGATGTAGAGAGACCCCTCGCGTTTGCCGTGTGCCACCACCAGGGTACCCTTGGACACCTTCCAGCTTCTCTGCTCGAAGGATACTCTGTAACCGGAGTCAGTCAGTTGCCCGACTGATATAAGATTTCGTCTGAGATCCGGTACATGCCGAACATCATTCAGCGTCAAGGTGGTCTCGCCCTCCATCTTGAGGGTACAATTTCCCTTCCCGGAAACCTTGCAAGGTTGATCGTCGCCAAGATAGACTGTCCCCAAGTCCTTCACGAACGATGAAAGCAGCTTTTGTTGTGAGGTTGCATGGAAAGATGCACCATAGTCGATGACCCACGCATCACTTTTATCTTCTAGGGATAGGAGAAGTGCATCCGAATCCGTCTCGTGCATGAGATTGGCTGCATCGTCAGTCTGATCATCCCCTGCTGATGCTGGAACAGTAACTCTGCAGTCCCGTGCAAAGTGGTCTTTTTTTCCGCATCTGAAGCACTTCCCTTTACCGTAACCATTTGGGTTAGGCCCTTTAGACTTTCCTCTGGATTTTGATTGGCCTCGTCGTCCCCTACCCTTCTTCTGTGCACGCCCTCGTGCCTCGACATGTAGAGCACTCCCACTGCTAGAGGCCTCAGCTCCTGAGACTTTGCGGCGAGATTCTTCATCCAGAATTGTCCCAACCACTGTGTCGAGCTTCATCTTGTCATTGCCATTAGCGTTGCTCACCGTCATCACCATATTCTCCCATGAATCTGGTAGACAAGAAAGTAGCAGAAGAGCTTGGATCTCGTTGTCGAACTTTAGATCTACTGCAGCAAGTTGTTGCACTACAGCCTGAAATTCGTTCAGGAAGTCCGCCACGCGAGCTCCTTGCTGCATCTTGAGATTGAATAGCTTCTTCATCAGGTACACCTTATTTGAAGCAGATGGCTTCTCATACAGCGCCTCCAAAGCCTCCATCAACTCCTTGGTGGTGGTCGCATGCCAGACGTTGTAAGTCACATGCTGGTGAAGGTTGAGCCTGATTGTGGCAAGTGCTTTACGATCAAGCACCTTCCACTTATCGTCGTCCATCTTCTCAGGTTTCCCCGCCTCTCCTTGGAGGGGTAGGAAGAGATCCTTCTCGTACAAATAGTCTTCTATTTGCATCCTTCAATACCTAAAATTTTGGTCGCCGAACTTCTCAATTCGAAGCCTGTTGTCTTCAATTGTAGATCCCATGGCGAAAGATTACTTCTTTCCCGTATTTGTGAATAGTACCGTATTCGTGAATTGTACCGTACACGTGAATAGTACCGTACACGTGAATAGTACCGTACACGTGAATAGTGTCCAATACCTTAAAAGAGTAAATATTACTCTAACTTATTTTCTGATGTGGAGGATCCACTTTTAGTGGCAGCCACAGAACATACGATAAGCAGATATATATACTCTAAGTTAGGCTCTGATACCAGTTGTTATGATACACCCCAATAAGAACGTCTCTAACGGAGACGCAATACACAAAATAAAGGCACAAGATCAACCAGAGTACTCACAGATATACGTGGTTCACTCCTTCGGAGCTACTCCACGGTGCAACGACGACGCCAAATTCTTTTATATCCCAAAAGAATAGATCAAAGAGAACACCCTCTCTTGATTAGATACATTCCAAGAACTCTCACAATCTCTCTCTATGTTTTCTCTTTTACTTTTCTATGAGAAGAGTTGTTTCTGGGATGAGATTTCCTTAAGAGTTTAGGGCCCTATTTATAGTGTTTGGAAAACACTATGCACAAATAAAATATTATTAGTGGGACCCGTCACTAATAATAGTTTATTGTGGGACCCACATACTTTTATTCTTTTTCAAAAGTTACGGGTACTTTTCCTTAATTGTCAAGGATGTTAGGTGAGGGCGGCTGCATAGGGCGGCTAACAAAAACGATACCTGTTAATTTTTGCATGGGTATCTATTAAGTCTTCTTGGGCGATAATCATATCCCTCTGTATACCTTTATTGGGTGAATACACTAACAGTTATATTTGTCCTGTGGTGAAATATTAAATTGTCCGCTATTTATTTGAAAAAAATATGGTAATCAAATTTGACTTTTTTTCTTTTTTTTTTTCTTTTACATTGTCATCCATTATCCCCATTGTACCCTACGAAAAGTATAAACCGTTTCAGGCGCCCTTGTATCTGGCTCTCTTCTTTGTTGCATTCTCAAATTATATTTCTGACAAATCACTTTTATTGACCTTTACAGGTAAGTTCAGTAAGCCGATTGTCCTATTTATGGTTAGTTTTAGTGACGCTCCCTCCAGGCGGCGGCACCCCCCCCCCCCCCCGCACGAAAAACACGCCCCACACAGATTGTAAATATATGTTTTAATCGATCTGTAGATCTTGGATATTTCATTGAATATTTTGATGCGCCGCCTGTTATTATTTGTTTGTTATTCTTTGTATCATACCTTGTATATCATTTTTTTTACTTGTTCCTATAACTTTATGATTTTAATAGATCTGTAGATCTAGTAGTTGGTAACATTTTGGATATTTCATGGAAAGTTTTAATGCACCATCCAGTTATTTATTTTATCTATAATTCTTTTTAAGTTCCTACCTTGTTCTGCAGCTTGTTGGTAAAGATGCTCTAGCAGAAACTGACAAAATTACACTAGAAACTGCAAAGCTCCTGAGAGAGGATTATCTAGCACAGAATGCATTTACTCCGTAAGTATTCCCTAATTACTTATATCATGCTTGACCTCAGCCCTTTGTACATTGCATATTTAACTTTTCTGTACATTGTAACTTATTTTATTTTTTATTTTATTTTATTTGTTATGCACTCTTCTTATGTAATTCCTGTTATTGCTACAGTTATGATAAATTCTGTCCATTTTACAAGTCAGTTTGGATGATGCGTAATATTATCCATTTTAATGCTTTGGCAAGCCAGGTAAATTCTTCTTTGGCAAGTGCTTAACCATAAATTGTTCTTTAGTTTACGAGCTTATTCTTAACATTCTCTCTGCACATTTCTGCAAGCTATTCCAGATTTATTTGATTCGTCCACATAAATGGTGGATTTTTTCTCAGATTACGTCAGATTCTGTTGAAGTTGATTTAATAGTGATAATAATCGAATATTTAATAGGAGCTCAAGTTTTAGTAACATTTTCAAGTAACTAATGACCTAGCAATAATTGAAGCATTATTTTTATTATTGTTTTTCTATTATATATCTCGAAGTTCAAATTCTTCTTTTGTATTCCATACAGTGTGAACTACTTGAATGCCTATTCACATTTAGATTATCATTTTTGCCTCACCTTTTTGTTATGAGTTCTGCAGGCTGTTGAGAGAGGTGCTGGTTCTGATGGCCAGAAGATAACATACAGTGTTATCAAGCATAGATTGGGCGACCTTTTCTACCGCTTAGTGTAAGTAACAGTTCCTCTATGAAACTATTGATTTTTAATCTTAATTAACAATATAAATAGTTGAAATGTCTCTTGAGGGGTATTCTGCAGCCCTGGCCTTTTTAACTTTTCTCACTTTTATCCAGATGATTTGGAAATAGAAAGTTCTTAGAAAGTATTCCTTGGAGAAGTTCTTTTTCCCCCCCTTTACCTTTTTACTTTCCATTTACTTTCTGGTTGCAAACACCCCTTAGTAACGATTCTTGACCCTTTTGATCATTATCCTATGGCCAATCCATTTTGATGAAAAATGACACTAGTGATGATAATTGCTAGAAATTTTGCAATCAACTAAGGCTCGCTAATGTGAATGCATTTGCTCATTTTATTAAAACCATAGGTCCCTCTTACTGCAAAGTTCAAGAAGCTAAATGATGATCTCACTGTTGGATTCCGCAACCTAGAAGATGAAACAAGATAAATTTTTTGTAGGGGGTGTTTATTCTTTAGCTTCTCTTTATCTTTATATTGCTTACTACTTTCATTGAGAGCGATTCTATTCTCATTCTTTGTAGCATTTAGGACAGAACCATGAGATGGGCAAACATTCACAATTTTCGCCCTTGAGATTCCTATTATTTCACAGATCTCGATTATATATTGTTTGAAATAAAATGTGGGCATGGTAGTCTCGCAGGAGAGTTGGATTTTCTATATATTTTGTAAACGTATACATTGATGCTCTTTGATGGTATAATCTTTTGGTTGAATAAAATGGGGGCATGGTAGCATTGTGGATGCTGTATTTTCCCTTGGACTCTCATATCTGTACGGGTGTCGCATCGAAAGATAATTCTGATATTGTGTATGATCTCGCTTCTTATTGACAATTTGCGCTTTAGCTTTCTGCTTGAATGGATGAGACATTCTCCTTGCCTAGGGCTACGTATTGTCTTTTGGATCCTTTTCCCATTTTATTTAACAACGGAAGGGCGTTTTAGTGTAAATCCCTCCATGTAGCCTATTCATCCATCAAACAATATGGAAAATTTAAGGTGCCTATACATGTATATACTTATACCGTCAACTTTCTGACCGCCTCTGTTTTCAAAAGTAGGCAGGTACATGTTTGACGTTAGGATATTATTTGACAAATAATTAACCTACACTAATCATTATAGTAAATTAATAAAATAAATAAATAATCATCAAATTACAGTCCCGCCCTTTAGAAATTAAAGACAGCCACAATTACAATCTGATTAGAACACCTATCAGAATCTTCAGTCTATTGACGCAGTACCTTAAATTTCACCTTATTATTCGCACAGGACCTAAATCTAAGCTTCAGTAAACTACAGCCTAAATCACTTACGAAAGGCATTCATACCTGGTTGCTAGTGCTGGATAGATTGGCTCGAGATCCTTCTTTTTCTTGCTTGTGATGGTGATGTCTTTGCCTTGCTCTTCCTTCTTTTGAAGCTCGAATAAGGGCTCGTCGAGCCCTGAGGCCTCATCTCTGACTAGCGGGGAGGCATCACTTATGGTCGCAGGGGACAATCTTTCAATTGATGCTCTGCTGCGATTTTGGACTCCGCACTGATACAGAAGTGTCAAATGCACCAAGAGAAGTTGCAGTCTTATCATTGACATGATGCAGGGAGAAGAGTGCCCTGAATTGTCCAAGTGTGGCTCAATGCCAGATAACTCGCGTCTTTGAATGTCAGAGAAATAACGCCAAAATCACGAACAAGTACATTTCTACGTAGAAGCTGTCTAGTTCACAAAATCTGTAAACAAAAATGATTAAAACTGTACCTTTTTTGTCTCAAACACTGTTACAGTGATAGTTTTTCACATATAATTTTTCACATACCCAACAGCTTCTAAGTATTACTACTTTAAAAACAAAATAACATTCCTAATGACCTTAAAAAATGCATGTACAACTTGATATTACCACTTAAAACAATTGTGCCCGACATTATTCGATAGAATACAGTAATAAATCAATGCGAGAGAGCAGTTCGCTTTTTATTCTTTATTGACATATAAATACTTTATATATATACTGATCACACCTATATACTATATATATATATACAATCACTATAAGGCTATGTATATTTACTTTATTTAGGTGTTCCTAAAAATGGGATCAAGCAACTTTGTGTGCCCTGCTATGAGACACTGCTGAATCGTCTCTTTTTGAGCCTTCTGGTTTTCTAGCCCACGCAGGTGCTTGATCAGGTCCATAGCGATAATCATAAAATAGCTCCTCGCTGGCTTCAATGTGCTCTTTAGCAAATATCCCGACCCGGTGATCTCCAGCTACCAGCATGACCTGCAGCAAACCAATGTAGGCATAATGAAGCAAAAAAAATTTGATCATAGAGTTGATGAGCCATACCTTGGCATAGCAATTCGGGTTGGATGAATGATTTGCAAACTTTAGCTTGTCGCCCTTTCGGTAAGCATCCAACACATACTGCGTAACAAAACAAGAGTATGCCTTAGATAACACAACAACAGACCAGAGCGGCAGCACTCATCCTATCATCAGAAAATAATTGAACTTGAATCTCAATAAAGTCTCATAAAGAACCCTACCTCCTGTTTGGGTCCAACAATATATAATCTTTTCGCAACATTGAACTAAACAATTAAACCTTTCCCCCCATTGAATATACACATGTTCTTAAAATTCCTACTAAATAAAAACACTTCCCAGTTGGTACTTATGCTGAATAACTGGTATCTACTGATCTTAAGATCTCAACAGCTTCTCCCACAACAACTGCCTCCATTTTGGCTACATGTTCTAATTTTGTTCCAAAAAAGTGATATGCTTATATGTTGCTGCTTTCAGAAGTTCATGTAAAATTGACATTGCTAATTCTTATCTCCTTTGTTACTATATGAGCTACCAAGAGATAGAGGTGGTCAGACTCACACCTTTTGAGCCAACAAAAGATGAGACTAGTGGTGACTCCCACCCTATTAGTCACATCGGAAGGTGTAGACCCCAAATTCCTATTTCACGGTAGCTCATATAAGAAAATGGGTGTCACCTCATAACCTGAACCCTGTGTATGTGTGTAATGTGCGTGTATCTAATTGATCTCACATAATAGTAATGCATAGCATTGCGGAAATGTTTTGTAAATTTAGTGGATATTTCATTTTCAATAGTATAGTTTTGGCAAATGAGTGGACTATAAATCATCCTTATTGTCAAAATGACCAAAAAAGGACATGAGATTGGTGGCGACTTATTAAATAAGGCTTTGGATTATGTGAAATCATAAGAGGTATAATTGTCTTTCGCTTGGTCAAATCTCATGGCTTATTATCCACTAAAAAATAAGCTAGCGTACCCTAGCTTGTTCTTTGGTAGATTATAAGCCAAAATAAGTTACTTGCCAAACATAACATCTCAAAGTGGCTTATAAGCCACTTTGATCAATTTGAGGCACTTTTACCATTTGCCAAGCATGCTCGTAAAAAACATTACAAGAATTATTACTTGGTGCATGTTTTTGAGAATTCGGAAAGACTGGAAAAAGGATAGGTTGGAATTTATTGAAAAAGGTCAAACTAATTAGCTTTTCTCAACTTGCCAAACACTAACGCGTGTTAACTATTTTATGAAATACTTCATTCAGACACTTAAAATCCATAAGGAGAACGTGATCCAAGTTAACTGTATCCTATTTTCACTAACCCAGCTTGCTTTTGATCTTATACCATTGCCAAACAACACCTAAAGATTATATTTAAGAACCTGTCTATGCACAATGTAGAACACTTAGAAAAAATCCACAAGTCCACTCCAGTCTCGAGGCTGAAGAAAGGACTTAGGAAATGAAATGTAGAATATTGTACATGCAATATCTGACAATACATCATCCTCTATGGATCACAAATCTCACTTACCTGATCATTCAAATCAAAGAGGAAGGATGAATTTGCACGATCATAGATTTTCCCACGTTTATCTGCTTCTTTGTGAGATATTAATTCACCAGTGTATTCTCCAAGGTAATCATTCTTATTCACAGGGTTCTAAATTTAGGAGGAGAAAAAAGCAACATCAGTTATAGTTGCATGTTTTACAGCCTATAGAAACAATGTATTTCAATGATGTGTACAATGTGTACCTTTAGAAAAGCTCCCCACCCAGCAACTTCAGACTTCGCCAATAAAATCTGGATAATTGATGACATTAACAACATAAATAAATAAATACTCATTATTAAACCGGTTGTGTATGCATATAAATATACACAAGTTAATGCTCTTACTCTCTGCTGCTGCTTTAACAAAAGATTCATGTTGCCACACTGATAACCATCTCCCCTTGCTGCTGGCTCACCTAAAGAACCGTCTCCACAGCTGCAAAGAGAAGAATCTTGAAGATATATAACTGATGTTCTGAACTCCAATTCTCGTATGAAATTTGAATATGATATGATGCTACTTTAGTACTCAGAAAGCTGTACTATTCAAATCTAATTTCACAAGCGAATTGATGAATTTGAATCTAATATGAATCATCCTAATTCTTTCAGCCAAAATTAAAGATAATGGGTGGTCATCCCAGTAGTCTGAATGAAACTCAGATTAAAAGAAAATACAGTTAAATTTAACAAGAATATGCAATCCATTGAAGAACAACTCCGAAAAGCTACATAATCATCAAGAACAAAATGAAATATATGAACAGAAAACTTTTTTAGTCTTTATCCAAGGGAGAAGGATGCTAAAGCGAGAAAGTCAGTATCTGGGTACCATGAAACCATATCAGTATGGAGACCATTAACCATAACAAGTTCCTGTATCAATAGACTAATAAATTTGAAAGTCTGACTAATGTCTTGCGCATTTTCAACAAGGTACACATGACATGTCTGATGACGAATTTGTTTACCAGAAGACTTAAAGTAAAAGGTACATAGATTCTGTCCTCAGATTGATTGCTTCTATTGGTTTTGAACTTTCAAACTACTTAAATCTTTCCATCAAAGATGCTTTCCGCTACATGGCAAACATGACATAATGAATCCAGAAATATAAATATGAACTCAAAAAGGTGAGATTGCAAATAGAAAAGCAGGAAATGATCTTTAGTTATGTTCCTGTCACAGTAATGCAAAAAGTCAGTGGTCGAAAGAGCATATCTACAGAAAAGCATGAAAAGTGAGATCACAATTACCTAACCCAACAATTCCTGCAGACATCTGGGTCACATTCACGCCCAGCCGCAAAGCACGGGCACTGGCGGCTTCTGCACTGACTCTTCGCACAATGGCATCCCCTAAACCGGTTCTTGCAGCTCTTGGAGCACCTAAAAGATAATTCAAAACACTTTTCAGAAACTGGAAGGAAACTGATTTCCAATCAAATATGAGTTTATTTACTTGGAAGGAACAAGGAGATGCTCGCAATCATTAGCTTACTCCAGAAGCTCATGTTTTCCATACTCCAAACATAAATTAAGGGCAAACTTCACAAAACTACCACGAACTATTTGGGGTTTTGCACTAAACTACGAAAAACAATTTTTATTTGAGGAAATACCACAACCTTTCAAATTAGTAGAAAAACACCAGTCTTTCTGAAAAGTGAAAACTATATGGTACTCTTATGATACTACATTGGAAATCCAGTAGTTATCTGACAGTATAAATCCTTGGTAGCTTGGTAACCTTATCTGCAACTTCATGGTATTTTAGTAAAAAATAATAAAAGATTATGGTACTTAATCATGGATAGTTTTTTTCTACAGACTTGCAAGTTTGTGGTAATTTTCTCTAGTACAAATATTTATGTTGCTGTTGTGCAAAAACCTCTAAGTCAAGTACTATGGTGTTCTGTGAAATTTTCCATAAATTGATATACTATCGGAGGGTGAGGAGGGATTTCTTACTTTTTATTTTGAGTGGGTGGTTATTTTTTTTCTTTTTCTTTTTTTTTTTTTTTTTGGGGGGGGGGGGGGGGGGGGGGGGGTTTTTATTTGTTATTAACCTCAACACTGTTCTTTCTTTCTTCGTCTTTTTATTAGAAGAAAGAAAACCCACAAAAGGGGAGGCATAAACAACCTGAGCACATCGCAGAAAATGAAAGAGAAGTGGTGAAGCAGATCCAGTAACATGTGCTATTTAACATATACATCCAAGGCAATTTACTACATACCCGCAATACTTCTCACAGCAAGTTCCATTGAGCTGACAGGGGCAATCTTTTCCACACATTTGCTGGCATCCACATGGTGTATATTGCTTACATGACTGATGTTTCCCATCAGCTATTCTTTTCCGAAAAGATGGATGGCCAGCAGATTTCCATGTATACTTCAGCTTCCTTCCTCTGCCCCTTCTACGCCAAATCCGACTTCTAGGTGGCATTTCTTGCTCCTATAAAGTGAAGCCAAGTATTTTAGCGATTTTTCTTCCAAACAAGACACATTGCTTGCGAACTTAGAAAACTGGTATTCTAAACTATTACGGTTGTGTATGCATATACACATTGCAATATGCAGCCAGTTGTGCAGCCAACAGCATATGCAACAACATAGACCATATATATAGGTGGACATATGTGTGCATGGACGAATATTCAGCACGTACCATAATAGGTTTCTACTTATGACAAGTTTTGAGACCTAAAATAGCCGTTTAACTTGTTATTAGTGACCCTTTCAGTCAATTTGTTATTAACTTTTAACTACTACTTGCTTATCAGGTGTTTAATAAGCCATTGCATCATTTCTTGATGGCATTTTACATGTTCATTGATTAGTCACACATGATATCTTGGTTGTCATGAATGTTTCTGACACGTATTAAATTACTTTTTCAGATTCATTAACTTCACATCTAAGTACTTGTGAATGGTTACTAGGTAATTGTTAATTTGTTATTAATTCAGGTGTATGCCTGCCATTTACTTGCAATTACATGGTCTTTATGTTCTTTACTTGCTTCTTCATTTACATATGTAGACCATCCAACCAATGAATCAATAACAACAAACCACCACCCTCTGCCTTATGAAAACACCGAAAATGAAACTATTCCCTTTCCCTTGCCAAACCATTTTCGTTTTATAAGCACCCAGCAGGTGACCATTGTTGCCTCTAATTTAAAATGCAGCTCGTTCAGTAGCTGAATTTAGCCTCTACCTTTCAGGTCATCTTTAAAGATTCAAATGATGAAGGCTGATGCAATAATATCTTTGCATTGTCAGGCCAACTTCTGTAGACAACTTAGTTTCAACATGACTATTTCTAAGAACATCCCACCATGCGGGTTGCTCAGGTTTGAACTGTAGATCACTGAGATAAAAGAGAACACGAAGTTCATGGTATTTAAGGTAAATGGTAGCATTTGGCTCATGGAAAGATATCACGAGTTTAATTCAAGAATAAAAGTTAATATTGAAGAAGCTGTTCACCCTCCTTCACAAGCGGTAATGAATGCCGAAAAATAGAGTTCCTATAGTTTATGACACCATAACTTCAATAATTGATAAAGAAGGATGATCTTTTTTATATTTGTTTTGTCTTCTAGTTTTTTTTCCCTTTTTATGTCTATGATGGTGGGCTTAAAAGGAAAATTTGAAGAAAAGCTATTTGAAGCCATTAGTGATGATTCATTATTTAGAATCAATTATTCGGTAGGGCGGTTTGATTGAGGATGATGTGGTACATCGAATTAAATCAGAATGGTTAAAATGGAGGACCTCCAGAGTCTTATGTGACCACAAAATATCTTTGAGATTAAAAGGTGTTAAGATTTAGAGAGAAAAGAATTTCTTGGGAGAGTTTTCCCTCGCTCTATACTTTATTATTTATAGAGATTGATTAGTTACAAATTAATCTCACAAGCAATGTGAGACTAAACTAATGTTAAACTAATACTCACTCTCTTCTAACACTCCCCCTCAAGCTGGAGCATATATATCATGCATACCCCGCTTATCACAAATAAAGTCAACCCATGTTCGACCAAGTGATTTTGTAAGAATGTCTGTCAACTGATGTACTGTCGATACATGTTTTGCCGTGATGCTTTTGTCCTCGAGCTTCTTGCAGATTACATGACAGTTGACTTCAATGTGCCTGGTTCTCTCATGAACACGAGATTCTCAGCGATGTGAATTGTTGCTTTATTGTTGCCATATGGACTCATGGGATATTATAGAGGGAGACAAATCTTTGTCAATAGGTCTCTGATCCAAACAATCTCTAGTGTCACATTGGTCATAGTTCTGTATTCTGATTCTGCACTGGATCGAGACACAACACTCTGCTTCTTACTCTTCCATGACACCAGATTTCCTTCGAGAAAGACACAATATCCAGTAGTCGACCTCCTATCAAAAGGACATCCAACTCAATCTACATCAGAGAAACCTGCAACTCTAGTGTGTTCTTAATCTGAGTAGAGAATTTCTCGTCTTGGAACATTTTTTAAGTACCTCAAAATTCTCATTACTGCATCCAAGTGAGTAGTTCTTGATGCGGACAAGAACTGAATCACAACACTGACTGCGAATGTGATGTCAGGTCTGGTCACCGTCAGATAATTTAGTTTACCCACCAATCTCCTATACTGCCCAACATCCTCAAGAAACTCCCTCTGATCTGGTAGTAGTTTTGAGTTTATATCCATTGGAGAATCACTGCTTCTGCATCCTAACATCCTGATTTCTGAGAGCATGTTCAGGACATACTTTCTTTGTGATAGAAGAATATCATTCGTTGACTTTGCAACTTCAACGTCTAGGAAGTATGTTAGGGAACCAAGATCTATGATTTGAAAATGTGTCTGTAAATACTTCTTCATGTTGTCAATACCAGAAGCATTATCTCTTGTAATTACAATGTCATCCACATATACAACTACCAGAATTTGTTTCCCATTCTAAATTCGTCAGAAGACAGAGTGGTCTTTTTGTGAACGACAAAGCCCAAATTCCTAAATAATCGATGCAAAACATCCAAATCAGGCTCTCGGAGACTGCTTCAGACCATAAAGTGATTTCCTTAGCCTACACACCTTCGCATTCTCCCCCTGAACAACAAAACCTAGTGATTGCTCCATGTAAACCTCATCATCTAGAATACCACTAAGGAATGTATTTTTGATGTACAACTGATAAAGTGGTCAGTGATTTGTCGCTGCTAACAAAACAAAAATCCGAACAGATGTTATTTTTACCACCGGAGAGAAAGTATCTACGTTATCCAAGTCAAACACCTGTGAATAGCTTTTAGCAACCAGTCGGGCTTTTAGGCGTGCCAAAGTTTCATCAGGATTTAACTTGACAGTGTACACCCACTTGTAGCCGACGAGCCGCTTTCCTGGTGTAAGTGGGACCAAATCCTAACTCTCATTTTGCTGCAAGACCCTTATTTCGTCCTGCATCGCTTGGTTCCAACCTGGAATAGACAGGACTTCTGACACATTTTTTAGAACCAAATATGAGTCGAGGGAAGTAACAAAAGATCGAAAGGTCCTTGAAAGGGAAACCAAAGGCTGGGGTCATTGACGTCCTGGATGTGATGCTCGATGAACTCATAAGCCTCCTCTCTTACTTATGTTGGTTGAAGGCGAAAGTTCCAAAATTGATTGACTTTGTGGGTAGAGGATAGGCGATCATAGGAGACAAAGTTAGAAATAGGATATTGAGTACAAGTTCGTGCCCCTTTTCGAAGTGCAATAGGAAGGTCTTCCGCAAAAGGGTGTAAATTTGCACTTACTAATTCAGGTTCTTCGGACGGAGGACGTGGTGTTGAGGCTGATGTTGGCACAAGAGCAGGAGCAGAGCGACGATAATAAACTTGAATTGGGACGTTAAACCTAGCTGAATCTTTGCCAGTAGCGCAAATAGTATTGTCAGCGGATGAACCACCACCGTTAACCAATGACTCTTGCAAGATTAAATAGTCATACTCATCCAATGATAATGAAGATGGAGAATTAGAATGACCGGGTTTATCTTCAAAGAATGTTACATCAACAGATAACACAAGACGATTGAGTGATGCACAGAAACACTTGTAACATTTATGCTTTCGGGAGTAGCCAAGAAAAATACCTTTAATAGACCGAGTGTCAAACTTTTATTTATTTGAACTGTGATTATGAACAAAGCACAAAGAGCCAAAAATCTTTGAAGGAAGCGAAAAGAGATCATCGTTAGGGTATAGAATTTTGAAAGAAATTTTATCTTGCAGAACAAAAAAAGACATTCGATTAATCAAGTAACATACTGTTAAGATAGCTTCCCCCCAACATTTTTTGGGAACGTGGCGATGGAATAGCAAGGTCTGAGCAATTAGCAATATCAATGAGATGTCTATTCTTTCGTTCAACAGCTCCATTTTGCTGAGGAGTGTAAACACAAGAAGACTGATGAAAGATTCCATGTTGTTCAAGGAAACTAGTGAAGTTATCATCCAAATATTCATTTGCATTATCATATCAGAAAATTTTTATCGAAGTCTTGAATTGATTGACTATTTCAGAATAAAAGAGTTTAAAAGTAGAAAAGACTTCAGGCCTAGACTTGAGAAGATAAATCCAAGTAACATGAAAGCGATCATCCAAACTAACAAGGTATCGAAATCCCAATTTAGAAGTTATTGGGCATGGTCCCCAGACATCAGAATGAACAAGATCAAATGGCTTAACAACCCTCTTATTGACTCGATTAGGATAAGACACACGATGGTGTTTGCCAAGTTGACACGACTCACACTCTAATGAGGAAAGAGATTTAAACTGTGGATTTAGAAGCTTGAGAACAGAGAGAGGGATGCCCTAGTTGACAGTGGTATTGTAGAGCTGATGAGTGTCTGATACAAGTTAAATGTTTGGCGTCCAAGTCATATTTATAATGGCCATTCTGCTCGTCCCGTCCCAATCATTTTTCTCGTGACCATGTCCTGAAAGACACAATGTGTGAGAAAGAATATAACAGTACAATTTAGTAATTTAGTAATCTTACTAACAGATAAAATGTTATAGGGAAAACTAAGAAAATAGAATACGGAGGAAAGGAAAAGACTCGGGGTAGGATTGGTGTTGCCGACACGCTGAACAGGTGTACGTGAACCATCAGCTAATATAACTGAATTAGATATATGAGAGAAAGAGGACAGGATACATTGGTTCCTAGTCATATGATCAGTGGCACATGTATCTATAATCCAAGTATGAGATGAAGACGATGTAAGTAAAGATAAAAGGGTACCTGTACTTTTGAGAGTAGCAGATAAAAAGAAAGACGATGTTTGTGAACTTTAGTACTGCTATAATAATTGAAATTGACACTGCAGCTTCACATCATGGAAAAATAACTGTGGTTGAATTTCACTATCGAATGAAGTGAGGTTGTCCTGACCAGTCATGTAAGTACCCTTGGCCTTCTTCTTTTCTAATTCAGGACAAATATATTTGAGATGTCCTGGCTGGTGGTAGTAGTTACAAGTCTTGATTGAGTCATCGTCATGAGCATGTCTGCCCTGAGATGGACCTCCACGGCCACCTCGTTGATCACCTCGACCTCCAAAATGACCAGTGTGGTAACCTTCTCTCCCTTTAAAGTTTCATCTACCTCTTCTAGGACCATCAGTATGACTTCCTTGTCCATAAGACTATCCAACTCTGAGTGGCAAGCACAGAGCGATCCGCAGTGAATGTGAGTGGCTGTGCAAGGACAATGTTCTTCAGAAAGTGATATAAGTCTCAGCCAGAGAACTAATGGTGGAGCTCCTCATGATTTGTGGTCGAGCAGAGGAGTGAATAGAATCTATAGTGCCTAAGTAGGTGAGTATCATAAATTTGTTTCATTGGTTCTGCATTTATTTTACATGCCCGGTAATAAAAAAAATTTGACGAAGTTCCTCAGCCAGACGATTGAACTCATGATAATGATCATTCATTGGTATATCATCCTGATTCTTACGAAACAGCTCTTGAATTACTTCATATGCCCGATTAATATTACTGTTATCTCCATAGAGATCTTACAAAAAAAACCCTAAAGTTTCTTCACTGTCATATAATGAAGAACTAAATCCTGAATTTTATGCTTCATAGTATTAAGAAGTTGATGCAAGATGACACTATCGTCCAATGTCCAAGATTCTGATGTCGGAGTAGGAAGGTCTGTCAACAAATGATCAGTTTTGTCTCGGCCTGTCACGTAGATTTCAATAACACGCTTCCACTAGAAATAGTTAATTCCATCAACTTTCCAGTCAGTGATTCTACTAGAAAATATCTCCGAAATTTTCGTCTGGACTGTTAACTCAGAATTCTTGAGTTCCTCAAATCCGACCATCATGAAACAGACGAGTAGAGTTCAAGACAACACCCTCCATAATTTGTACTCCAAAATGGAAACAATCAAAGTATGTCCATGTTTAAGAAAATAAGTATTGAATTAGCCAGTAGGCTGAACAAGTCCAAAAAACCTAAATGTTTAATTTTGAACCCAAAGGTTAAAGTGCAAGAACCCGAAGGTTAACATGAAACCCGAAGGTTAAAGATCAAGAACCCGAAGGTTAAGATGGAACCCAAAGGTGTTTTTTTTTAACAAGACAACTCGTGTATCTGATTCAGATTCAAAAATAAAAAGAGAGCGGCGAGCGACGGGCATGGCGGCGGCGAGCGAAGGCCTCATAGTGGCGACGGTCATCAACGGCGAGCGGCGTCGGGTGGGAGTTGTCGCATCGGGTGAGAGAAGCTCGAGGATGAGGATGTGGATCAAATGGACGAGGACGAGTTGTTGTCAAGGAAGATGAGGGCGAGGGCGAGGGCGATGGCGAGGATGAGAAAGATGAGGACGATAAGGCGGCTGTAGGGTTTTGGCGGCCTAGGGTTGGGGTCAGGCTTAGGAATTTGGATTAGTATAAGGGTTAGGGTTAGGGATAGGCTCTGATATCATGTTAAGATTTGGAGAGAAAATAGTTTCTTAGAAGAGTTTTCCCTCACTCTATACTTTATTATTTATAAAGATAGATTAGTTACAAATTAGTCACACAGACAATGTGGGACTAAACTAATGCTAAACTAATACTCATACTCTCTTCTAACAAAAGGAAAATTTTATAAAACAGTTGAAAGACCACCAATGCTTTATGGATCAGAATGCCGGGCAACTAAAAAATAACACAGCCAAAAAACAACCATACCAGAAATGAATCGTTAAGATTGTCTATTGGATATGAGAAGATAGGATAAAAAATGAGTGCATTTGTGGGAAACTAGAGGTTATTTCTATCGAGAATAAAATGAGAGAGAATCGACTGAGATGGTTTGGTTATGTACAAATTAAATACATCAATTAGGAGAATTGATAAAATTATAGTAAACGGAGCACAAAGGCCTAGAGGTAGACTTAAAGGAACTTGATTAGAAACAATAAAAAAGGATATGATAATAGGTAACTTTTGGGAGATGATCCATAATAAAAACAAATGGGAGATTAGGATTCATGTAGCCAACCCCAAATTTTGGGATAATGACATGGTTGTTGTTGTTAATGCAGTCCACAGTAGAAGTTTGTCTTCTGCATGTTTTGCAGGATTGCAAAGAATACTAAAGAATCACTGAAGGTATACAAATAAGTCTATGAATTTTATATAGGAGAAAAGAAGACTGTTTATAGACAACTTACCAGAATTCTAATGGTCATTCCCTTCTTTTGAATTTAATTAATAACTTCTTTAGTGCAGGATACATAAAAAGTACCAGCTATGGATGCACAATAACAATTAGCTATGCATGCACAAATCAGAAAGAAAAAGTATGCACCATGTAATCATGATCACCATTTCCACTGTCTTCCATGAACGAGTTGGTTGACATTTGCCTGCTCAACAGTGTAGCTCCATCGTTGAACATGTAATTTGATACCTCTGTGCAGGTTTTGAGACCAGAAAGCAGGTTTCTTGCTATTAGGCAACTGTAAATAAGCACTAATGAGCGCAAAACATGAATGTTGTATTAATGAACATATGTGTATCCAAGCAATTAGCACCATCGCTAGCAAATCCGAGGATCTAAGGCAGACTTTTAATTAATATAGGAAAGAGCCTACAAAGACAGCCACAACAAAATGGAAATCTGTAGATAAAAATCACTGACACTCATACATGAAGAAATCAAGGAAAATCAAGAAATTAAAAAAGGTAATTTGTCATATATCTTTAGTCATTCAAAGAAGCCCAAAAATTCAAAAAAACTTTAAAGAATGAAAAAAGCTAACTTGAATGTGAATTTTTTTCCACAAGAAGTGTGCTACATTAATTCATGTTGAATGCAATAATTTCGTTAGAAACCAGCATCAAAAAGCAAGATTACTGCTTAATATCTCCACATAAAATTTATAGTTAAGTTTCATGCATCCAAGGGTAGATGTTATGATGGAATATCCTTGATTATATCAATTGAAAAGATGTTCTCCTCATAGTTCCCTCACACGCAAAAGAAAAGACCTCTTTTTCGGGTGGGGTTCATTAATAAAAATAGTGTAAAAATTAAAAATTAAAAAAAATTACTGTCTAGAGTGCAAATACATAAAGTATACAAACTGATAGTCTGATACAAATATCACAAACATTAACAGGCATTAGGCATTATTGACAGTTCATTCTGCAAAATCTGATTTACTTTGGAAGCAGATCTGAATTTTGTAAACTTAATTGCTCTAAAGTAACATAAAAGTACTATGGATAACTACTATTTGAATATTTTTACCTATTCTTTCCAAATATCTCTACCCCCTTTAGGTAAAGATCTTTCTCCATACTACTCCATCCATGCGAACTTTGTGCCTTTCTGAGATTGAATGGATTGTTGGCGTCCTTAGCACCCTTTTCTACATCAACCGAATTACTTTCATCACTGTGAAAAGCATTTGTTTCAGAAGAATTTCCAATAGATTCATCTACAGATTCCTTATGAAACTGATATGAACTTGTTACTCCAACATCTAGACAGTTTCTATCGCTAACTGCTGATAGTATCTTCTGTTTCTTATCTGCAGGATTAAGAAATTTTCCAACAGAAAGATTAGGTTTCACCAAAGACGTAGTTTCATGCTTCAAGACCTTCCGCTTTCCAGTAACTTTCAAGGGAACTTCTTCCACAACTGCGTCCGAATCAATGGCAGCTCCAAGATGTTCCACCCTGTTGGTGGTCTCTGCTTCACCTGAAGAAACAACTAGCAGACTCCTCATTTTGGTGCACATTCGCTCTGCTGCTAAATTTGAACCATGGTCATCAGGATTTGAGTCAGATTCAGAGGATAAGGCAGTACCGGATTTGCCTGTTGACGTTATGGGATCCCTTGTATGTACGTCAGTGGGATCAGAGATGTCATGACACAGATTGTGAACAGCTTCTCTTCTCTAAGACAATGGAAAGGAAGCAAGGCATTAGTTGAGGAAGAAGATTCATAGAGATATTTGGACGGATATAAAGTAAATAAGTGACGTTATATATCTAATGATCTCAATGAAAGCAAAAAATCAAAGAAATCTGTAATAACCAATGCTCCAGGGTAACCATTTTGATTACTTTCTTATAAATCCTTGGAATAGGATGACGTGCCAAACTAGAGCAAGATACTTGAAGTGTAGACTTTATTGGGGGTATTATGCTATCATAGTGTACCTACAGAAGTGAAAGGAAAACTCTAAAAGACAGTTTAAAAGACCAACCACATGTATGAGGATGAAAATAATATATTAGTATCAGAAAAGAAAAACGAATGCTTCCACTCCCCGAGATATTTGAATCGATGTGTTGTACTCAAGTTGTCTGGTAAAGAGTGTAAGACCCCTTACCTTATTTAAAACTTCCATCCACCCCCTTATTCGTTACATATTTTAAAGATATTAATGCTTCCGTTACGTCCCTTTTTATGCCTCCACTCCCTTATTTAAAGCTCCCATCTATCTTACATCCATCCCTCTCACCCAGCGACTGCCCACTCGCTG